ACACCGCAATAAACACACTCATTTTTGGAAGACACTTGCATACACTGGAACTACCTACTAGATACTGTCGTGTGTGTAAAAACTGCAGGGGGATTTAATATCTCCCTCCAAGAACACCAACGCCAATTGGCGCTCTCTCTCTCCCGTCTCCTGTACGCTTATTTGCCGATAAATGCCTGCTATCCAGAACCAGCGAAAAAGACCAACATATCCACAAAAAGATCTGAAACAACTTGAAGACTAGGCAAATAAATGAGGCATGAGATTCAATGCCAAAAGTGTTGCATTATGTCAATAAACCAAAAAACAACATTTATATCAACTCGACAAATACATTCTCCAAGAAGTACAAAACAACCCGAAGATTCCAACAATCTCAAATGGAGTCTGCACATAAATACATGTAACATCAGTAAGAAAGCAAATACAACCTTAGACTTATTAAGTCTACATCTCCGAAATGTTCCAGAACAATGCAGAAAACCGATATAATATGTACATATCCTTGTAAGATCTATCATGGAATATGGAGATACATGTACCATATGGTATCCATACCTCAAAGGGGATATTGACAAACTAGGTAAAATTCAAAACAGAGCCTAAGATTTATCAAAAAAAATTATGAGTAAAAACCAAGTTGCTATATAACATCGATGAGAAGAAATCTTAACATTGACACCCTCAAGGACAGAAGAACAAGCCTGAGATTGATACTCATGTAAGGGGTGTTAAGAAACTTCGTTCCGTGATAAAATATTTTCAAAAATTTCAAAGTAGTGGTTAATTAAAGAGATTAATTTTCAAGTCTGACAAAATCACAAGAGTGTGCTTTAGGTTTATAGCAATTCATTTCTAGCAGGGAATTATATGATTTTTCTTCCAAATGTAAATATATATAATATCTTTAAAGCACCCGAATAATAGAAATGCTGGTCATTTTGAGTGAAAATAAAGGATAATTTACTTTTGTTTCTTCATAGCTTAACTTGCATCAGACAAGCTGATGAGCGTAGGTAGAGGAACGATAGATCATTTTTCAAAAGAATAGGTTTTTCATTTTGAAGTTTTTCACAGATTTAATAGTTTTTGCGTAATATTTGAAAGGACGTTTTGAGCTCTGAGATTATTATATGTCACAAATATGCGTCATCTCTAATTTTTTTTCTGAAAAGACATCATCTTTTTAAATACCTGCCCTCCCCTTATTGATTCAACAAAATACAGTTAAAACCTAATCAGTAGCAAGAATGGACTCTGTAAACATGAAATATCACAAATTGTAAATATCTTCTCATCGAATTTCTTTTCGAAAATAAAAGAAAAATGTGGAACGAACTTTCTTAACACCCTTTACAAATATGTTGAGGGGTTGGTGCCGTCACTACCTCCTCACTTACTCATAAATGTATAAAGAGGGAAACCCAAACGCCAAATTATGCCAACAGATTTCAAAGACAACCACAACAAATATAGTTGATTGATTGATTGTATGTTGTTTAACTTCCCTGTCGAGAATTTTTCACTCATATGGACACGCCACCACTTGCCGATGGAGACCATCAACTTTTGTCCGTATTCTTAATAACTTATCAAAGGGCCATTGAACAGATTCAACTGAATTTTTAATTTAAATGCTCACAATTTCAAATTAAGGCATCGTCTAATGATTAGCAAAAATTTGAACATCCTTTTTTGATTAACAAATGAGATACAAAACTAAAAGTTCTTCAAAACGTAAACAAGGTTCGCGCCCCGTTATTGTTTACATATTGGAAATGTCATGTTAATTTTTGAATTATGTTGAAAAGCATGGTTTTATCATCAATTGTTGTGTTCTTTGACATCATGTCCTCGATTCATGACGTGTAGCTACAAGTCTACAAAGTGTAAAACCTAATCTACACGTTTGGCACAAACAGGAAAGTGTATCAATAAACTACCAAATTTCTTATTATATTTTATAGATTACAATGAGTGATAAGACAAGATAATCAACTCAACTTACTAATAAATGTTTTAAGAGGGAAACCAAACGCCAAATTATGCTCTACAGATTTGTAAAGACAACCACAACAAATATATTTTATTGATTGATGTAGTCAACGGTGTTGTTTAAAGGAATTTCACAGAAAATTTTTTAGTCAACCATGGCAACACCGTTCATCGAAATGAAAAACCGATGCACTATTCTATATATCTTAGTGTAGTCTACTTGTGTTTCAAGTTATATTGAAATCAGTGCCAAAACTGTACACGGAGTAGACATTTTATAAGGAATTTCACAGAAAATTCTATTTTTAGTAACCATGGCAACACCGCTCACCGAAATCAAAAACCGTCATTAGACGAACTTGAACGGGTGACGTCATCAATTGTTGTGTTCTTTGACATCATGTCCTCGATTCATGACGTGTAGCTACAAGTCTACAAAGTGTAAAACCTAATCTACACGTTTGGCACAAACAGGAATTTCACAGAAATTTCTTTTTATTTTATAGATTACCATGGCAACACCGTTCACCGAAATCAAAAATGTTTTAACTATTCTATGTATCTTAGTGTAGTCTACTTGTGTGCCAAAAACCATTATATTGAAATCTTGGTGTAGTCAAAACTGTAGAAGGAGTAGCGTTTTAAAGGAATTTCACAGAAAATTCTATTTGTAGTAACCATGGCAACACCGTTCACCGAAATCAAAAACCGATGCACTATTCTATGTATCTTAGTGTAGTCTACTTGTGTTTCAAGTTATATTGAAATCAGACCAAAACTGTACAAGGAGTAGCATTTTTAAGGAATTTCACAGAAAATTCTATTTTTAGTAACCATGGCAACACCGTTCACCGAAATCAAAAACCGATGCACCATTCTATGTATCTTAGTGTAGTCTACTTGTGTGCCAAGTTATATTGAAATCAGACCAAAACTGTAGAAGGAGTAGCGTTTTAAAGGAATTTCACAGAAAATTCTATTTTTAGTAACCATGGCAACACCGTTCACCGAAATCAAAAACCGATGCACTATTCTATGTATCTTAGTGTAGTCTACTTGTGTGCCAAGTTATATTGAAATCAGACCAAAACTGTAGAAGGAGTAGCGTTTTAAAGGAATTTCACAGAAAATTCTATTTTTAGTAACCCTGGCAACACCGCTCATCGAAATTAAAAACCGATGCACTATTCTATGTATCTTAGTGTAGTCTACTTGTGTGCCAAGTAATACTGAAATCAGACTAAAATTGTAGGAGGAGGAGCGTTTTGAAAAATTGTTTACAGACAGACGGACGGACGCCGGACGCATTACTATCGCATAAGCTCTTCTGGTCTCTGACCAGTAGAGCTAAAAAATATGCATACCTTAGTAATATCAAGCAGCATGTTTATTTCGTCTTCGGAATCGTGTGATCTAAACACCTACCCTGTCCCTGTAAGCAACACTGGGCCTTGTGAATGTGTTTTTTCCATCATATTGTTTAAAACTCGGTCTAACATTTTTTTTATTTCATAATAATTTAATTCTGTTTGTATTCTTGTCTCTCATTGGTTGATTTCCAAAAAGGAACGCATAACATTTTGTATAATCAGACACACCCCCTTGACAACCAGCTGAATGTCCATCAATCCCCTCATTTCCAGTCCTTCGGATTCATGAAAAATTCCAGATTTAATGAATGTACCTTTAACTTCAAACAGTTGCTCGATCTTACCTCATGTAAACAAGCATCATGGCTGCTAGATCTATGTATCAGTTTTTACCTCCCCTTGCTTCCCATCACTTCCGTTACTAGGGTTGTATTATTGCGCGGTAAAAAATAAAAACAACACAATTTTACATCCCCAGTTGTTTAATTATTTTAAAATTAAATTATGTTTATTCTTGGTCAGATTATCGAGTATAATATGGTTTGGGTCAGTTTACGCGTTATAATCCGCTTCAGTTTACGCTTTTTTATAATCCGCTTCGCGGATTATAATGTGTTTTTTCCATCATATTGTTTCGATAATCTGGCTAACATTTTTTTATTTCATAATATATTTTTTTTCAATGAATATTTTCTTAAGTCCCTTTAAATACAGGCACGTAGCAACAGGGGGGGGGGCAGGTGGGGGGGCCCCCCCCCCCCCCCCCCCCACTTTTTTCCCCAACATTACCTTTACTATTGAAAATGTCCATTGAAAGGTTGGTTGCCCCCCCCCCCCCCCCCCCCACTTCTTACCACAGTATAGTGATATCAAGGAAATGTAGTGTTGTATGCAAAAAAATTTGGAAGTGAAAGGAAGTTGGCCTTGAAAAAAGTTGTCCCCCACCCCACGAAATAGGATTTTCGAGGGTTTTTTTTTTTTTTTGGTTGTCAACTTTTACAGATAAGTAAAAAAATAAATTCTCTCGTTGGCCTCCCCACTTTCAAAAACGATTCTACGTGCCTGAAATACATATTTAACGAAATATACACATATTAGTAGGTATACAGTCCTAGCTTTTTTTAAAGGCCTAACTAATTTTAAAGTCGGGATTAAATAAAGTCGAAACCATGGTTGACTTTAAGTTTAGTAACATTTGCGTTTTGTTGTATAGTTTAAATTAGAGTAACCCCCTCCCCCTCCAAATCAATCCCCTCCAGTGGAAAAAGGGGGATTGTGTAAGTGAATGGTGGTGTTTGCACTGAAACTTACCCCCTTTTCGATATTAATTATAAATCGCATTATCTTTCGTTTTTACAGAATGGCAGTTCAAAGGAAAAAAAATGTTTCGTTTCGGAATCAAGGACGATTTAATTCTGTTAACAGAAGTAGTATCTATAAACCCCTTTAATTCGGAAGAAATTGCAACAGCTTGGACGAATCTGGCAGAAAATTTTATGGATATAAAGAAAGACGCGATGGTGGACGGAAGAGAAAGGACTGCTTTACTTATTTCTTACTTTAAAAGTGATGACCGGGAGAAATTGTACAAAATTGTAAAAAGGGAAAAAATGAGAAAGAAAAGAAAATTGATGAAATTAATAAGGTAGTTGAAATTCGTAAAAGGGCGATGGAAAATATGAAAACAGGTAATAATATGAAATATTAGATAAAAGAAAGTGACGGAAAAAACGGAAAAAAAATGAAAAAGTAGAATTCAGAAAATTAAAAGTTTCAGAACCTAATTAAAAAATCGTTTACTTTTATGGAGAAAAATACAATAAAAAAATCGCTGTATAACCCAACACAAATATAAAATACATGGTTACTGTCTTGAAATATAAGCTATATTTGGGCGAGGGTAAGAAAACGTGATAGAGGGCGAGGCTTGCCGAGCCCTCTTACGTTTTCGACCCGAGCCCAAATATCGCTTATATTTCAATACAGTTATCATGTATTTTGTTTATTCTGCAACATATTCTTTACATTTGAACGTCCAAAACTAGCTATTTTCGACAGATTTAGGCACATATCTGCAACTATGACGCCATGGCGTAAACATTGCAATATAAATGACGTCACAATGCTTTAGAACGTCAGAATACATGCACGAGGCTTTATTAGGGCAGTGACCGGATAAAGCTTTGGTTTATTAGGTTACCTTTATTAGGTCAATGCAAGGGGTAGTTGCAGGATAAAAATATTGCTTCACTGTTTCTCTTTCAGTTGAGTTTTTGAAACTTCGCTATATTCATGATCATATTTTACCTAACTCTTTTGCTTTTTAGCTCACCTGAGCCAAAGGCTCAAGTGAGCTTTTCTGATCAGAATTTGTCCGTCGTCTGTCGTCGTTGTCGTTGTTGTCTTTTCACATTTTCATCTTCTCAAGAACCACTGGGCCAATTTCAACCAAACTTGCCACAAAGCGTCCTTGGGTGAAGGGGATTCAAGTTTGTTCAAATAAAGGGCCAAGCCCTTTTCCAAGGGGAGATAATTATGAATTAATGAAAAATTAATGGTATCTTTTTAACAAGAGGCCCATGGGCCTTATAGGTCACCTGAGCATTATGCAACAACTTTCCAGTGATTGAATTTAATTCATGTTTTAAGCCAGATGCTATGACATTCACAATTTTGAAAGAGGCACCATTGATCATTATAACTATACACTAAGCAGTTGCTTAGTTTGGTTACTTAATACCCATAGGTAGGGTAGGGGAACAAAAAATGCATTTCAACTAATCAGTAATATGCAGCAATAATCAGTAGTGCCTTTACCACACATGAACCTTAAAACCTTAGGCATAGATCAACACATTGCACAATTTTTGATAAGGCATCCTTGCTTTTCAAAAATATTTGATTAATACCAAGGAGCAGATTTCAAATAATTCATTCATTTTCAGTATATAAGTACAGCCCCCCCCCCATAGTACCCCTGACCCTGGGGCCTTGAAATTCAAAATTCTGGAAGATTAGAGCCCTTGCTCATAACTATGTAGGTAGTTCATCTGCTTAATACCCAGGAGCAGAGAAGAAGATTTTCAAAGATTTAATGTATTTTCACTATATAATCAATAGAGCCCCGCCTTAACACCAGAACTCCTGACCCTGGGGCCACGAAATTCACAATTTTGGTATATGCACTCTTGCTCATCATACCTATGCACTTAGTTAGTCTATTTAATATCCAGAAGCAGAGAAGAAGATTTTCAAAGACTTCATGTATTTTCACTGTATAATCAATAGAGCCCCACCCTAACACCAGAAACCCTGACCCTGGGGTCACAAAATTCACAATTTTGGTAAAGGCACTCTTGCTTATCATAACTATGCACTTAGTTAGTCTATTTAATACCCAGGAGCAGAGAAGAAGATTTTCAAAGAATTCATGTATTTTCACTATATAATCAATAAGAGCCCCGCCTTCACATCAGAACCCCTGTTCGCGGCCACGAAATTCACAATTTTGGTATAGGCACTCTTGCTCATCATAACATGCACTTTGTTAGTTTATTTAATACCCAGGAGCAGAGAAGAAGATTTTCAAAGAATTCATGTATTTTCAATATATAATCAATAGAGCCCCGCCCTAAAACCAGAACCCCTGACGCTGGGGCCATAAAATTCACAATTTTGGTAGAGGCATTCTTGCTCATCATAACTATGTACTTAGTTAGTTTATTCAATACCCAGGAGCAGAGAAGAAGATTTTCAAAGAATTCATGTATTTTCACTATATACTTATTTAGCCCCGCCCTAGCACTAGAACCCCTGACCCTGGGGCCACAAAATTCACAATTTTGGTAGAGGCACTCTTGCTCATCATACCTATGCACTTAGTTAGTCTATTCAATATCCAGAAGCAGAGAAGAAGATTTTCAAAGAATTCATGTATTTTCACTATATAATCAATAGAGCCCCGCCTTAACACCAGAACCCCTGACCCTGGGGCCACGAAATTCACAATTTGGTATATGCACTCTTGCTCATCATACCTATGCACTTTTATAGTTAGTCTATTTAATATCCAGAAGCAGAGAAGAAGATTTTCAAAGAATTCATGTATTTTCACTATATAATCAATAGAGCCCCACCCTAACACCAGAAACCCTGACCCTGGGGTCACAAAATTCACAATTTTGGTAGAGGCACTCTTGCTCATCATACCTATGCACTTAGTTAGTCTATTCAATATCCAGAAGCAGAGAAGAAGATTTTCAAAGAATTCATATATTTTCACTATATAATCAATAGAGCCCCGCCTTAACACCAGAACTCCTGACCCTGCATGGGCCACGAAATTCACAATTTTGGTATATGCACTCTTGCTCATCATAACTATGCACTTAGTTAGTCTATTTAATATCCAGAAGCAGAGAAGAAGATTTTCAAAGAATTCATGTATTTTCACTGTATAATCAATAGAGCCCCACCCTAACACCAGAACCCCTGACCCTGGGGTCACAAAATTCACAATTTTGGTAGAGGCACTCTTGCTTATCATAACTATGCACTTAGTTAGTCTATTTAATACCCAGGAGCAGAGAAGAAGATTTTCAAAGAATTCATGTATTTTCTATATATAATTAATAAGAGCCCCGCCTTCACATCAGAACCCCTGACGTCGCGGCCACGAAATTCACAATTTTGGTATAGGCACTCTTGCTCATCATAACATGCACTTTGTTAGTTTATTTAATACCCAGGAGCAGAGAAGAAGATTTTCAAAGAATTCATGTATTTTCACTATATAATCAATAGAGCCCCGCCCTAAAACCAGAACCCCTGACGCTGGGGCCATAAAATTCACAATTTTGGTAGAGGCATTCTTGCTCATCATAACTATGTACTTAGTTAGTTTATTCAATACCCAGGAGCAGAGAAGAAGATTTTCAAAGAATTCATGTATTTTCACTATATACTTATTTAGCCCCGCCCTAGCACTAGAACCCCTGACCCTGGGGCCACAAAATTCACAATTTTGGTAGAGGCACTCTTGCTCATCATACCTATGCACTTAGTTAGTCTATTCAATATCCAGAAGCAGAGAAGAAGATTTTCAAAGAATTCATGTATTTTCACTATATAATCAATAGAGCCCCGCCTTAACACCAGAACCCCTGACCCTGGGGCCACGAAATTCACAATTTGGTATATGCACTCTTGCTCATCATACCTATGCACTTAGTTAGTCTATTTAATATCCAGAAGCAGAGAAGAAGATTTTCAAAGAATTCATGTATTTTCACTATATAATCAATAGAGCCCCACCCTAACACCAGAAACCCTGACCCTGGGGTCACAAAATTCACAATTTTGGTAGAGGCACTCTTGCTCATCATACCTATGCACTTAGTTAGTCTATTCAATATCCAGAAGCAGAGAAGATTTTCAAAGAATTCATGTATTTTCACTATATAATCAATAGAGCCCCGCCTTAACACCAGAACTCCTGACCCTGCATGGGCCACGAAATTCACAATTTTGGTATATGCACTCTTGCTCATCATACCTATGCACTTAGTTAGTCTATTTAATATCCAGAAGCAGAGAAGAAGATTTTCAAAGAATTCATGTATTTTCACTGTATAATCAATAGAGCCCCACCCTAACACCAGAACCCCTGACCCTGGGGTCACAAAATTCACAATTTTGGTAAAGGCACTCATGCTTATCATAACTATGCACTTAGTTAGTCTATTTAATACCCAGGAGCAGAGAAGAAGATTTTCAAAGAATTCATGTATTTTCACTATATAATCAATAAGAGCCCCGCCTTCACATCAGAACCCCTGACGTCGCGGCCACGAAATTCACAATTTTGGTATAGGCACTCTTGCTCATCATAACATGCACTTTGTTAGTTTATTTAATACCCAGGAGCAGAGAAGAAGATTTTCAAAGAATTCATGTATTTTCACTATATAATCAATAGAGCCCCGCCCTAAAACCAGAACCCCTGACGCTGGGGCCATAAAATTCACAATTTTGGTAGAGGCATTCTTGCTCATCATAACTATGTACTTAGTTAGTTTATTCAATACCCAGGAGCAGAGAAGAAGATTTTCAAAGAATTCATGTATTTTCAATATATACTTATTTAGCCCTACCCTAGCACTAGAATCCCTGACCCTGGGGCCATAAAATTCACAATTTTGGTAGAGGCACTCTTTCTCATCATACCTATGCACTTAGTTAGTTTATTTAATACCCGGGAGCAGAGAAGAAGATTTTCAAAGAATTCATGCATTTTCACTATATAATCAATAGAGCCCCGCCTTAACACCAGAACCCCTGACCCTGGGGCCACGAAATTCACAGTTTGGTAGAGGCACTCTTGCTTATCATAACTATGCACTTAGTTAGTCTATTTAATATCCAGAAGCAGAGAAGATTTTCAAAGAATTCATGTATTTTCACTACATAATCAATAGAGCCCCACCCTAACACCAGAAACCCTGACCCTGGGGTCACAAAATTCACAATTTTGGTAGAGGCACTCTTGCTTATCATAACTATGCACTAAGTTAGTCTATTTAATACCCAGGAGCAGAGAAGACGATTTTCAAAGAATTCATGTATTTTCACTATATACTTATTTAGCCCCGCCCTAGCACTAGAATCCCTGACCCTGGGGCCATAAAATTCACAATTTTGGTAGAGGCACTCTTGCTCATCATACCTATGCAATTAGTAAGTCTATTTAATATCCAGAAGCAGAGAAGAAGATTTTTGAAAGAATTCATGTATTTTCACTATATAATCAATAGAGCCCCGCCCTAAAACCAGAACCTCTGACCCTGGGGCCATAAAATTCACCATTTTGGTAGAGGCACTCATCATAAATATGCACTTAGTTGGTTTATTTAATACCCAGGAGCAGAGAACAAGATTTTCAAAGAAATTATGCATTTTCACTATATACTTATTTAGCCCCGCCCTAGCATTAGAACCCCTGACCCCAGGGCCATGAATTTCACAATTTTGGTAGAGGACTCAATGCTAAATACAATCATGCAAACAGTTTGACTGCTTGATGTCCAGGAGTAAAGAAGAAGATTTTTAAAGATTGCAATAATTTTAGTGGTTTTGGCCCCACCCCTCAGGCCCCAGGGGGGCAGGGATCATGAAATTCACAATTTTTGTTCCCCTTCACCCATAAGTGCTTTGTGCCGAATTTGGTTGAAATTGGTTGAGTGGTTGCAGAGAAGAAGCTGAAAATGTTCAAATGTTACCGGACGACGCACGACGACGGACAACAACGGATAGCAATAGGTCACCTGAGTTTACTCAGGTGACCTAAAAATCTTCTTCTCCAGAACCATTGGGCCAGGAAAGATGAAACTCATATGGAAGCATCCTTAGGTAGTGTAAATTCAAGTTTTTTTTTCAAATCATGACCCCCGGGGGTAGGGCGGGGCCACAATGGCTGATCAAAGTTTTACATAGGAATATATAGGGAAATTCTTTAAAATCTTCTTCTCAAGTACTGCAAAGCCATGATTAGTGATATTCATATGGAAGCATCCTCAGGTAGTGTAGATACTAGTTTGTTCCAATCATAACCTCCAGGGATAGGGTGGGGCCACGATGGGGGTAGGGAGGGAAACAATGGGGAGTCAAATTCAAATTATTACAAAGTAATATATACAAACAAAATATTAAAATAAAATCTTTAAAAAGCTTTTTCTCAAGAACTTTCTCAAGAAGTTATATGTAGTATTGATATGGAGGCATTCTCAAGTAGTATAAGGATTCAAGCCCCCTCCCCCATCCCCTCAGTAAACCTTTCAATTCGGATCTGATTTGTGCTTTTTCCTAGCTCAAGTGAGCGATGTGGCCTCTGGGCCTCTAGTTGATCCAACTATCTTAAAAGAAACACGTGATTTTGACTCATGTAACTTTAAGTATTTGCGCAATATTCGTTACATGTATATTTATGTTCTTAAATGCATTATTTACTGTTTACAGTGATTAATGTATACAAAGATATTTGATCACTAAATGTACCAAATTGTGAAGTATAGTTGACATTTCATGAAATATATAGCAACACCTGACAGTATTTCATATAAATATTTGTAGACGATAGTTGCACACCAGACGGTAAAGAGAAATTTAAACGCCGACGGAATGAAATGCTGGATTTCCACCAGAAAGAACCAGAAGTCTCTGTCGAGACCGTAGCTCTGCTGGTTTGTACTGATCAAAAACCGATGCACAGAATTATGTATCTTAGTGTAGTCTACTTGTGTGATAAGTTATATTGAAATCAGACCAAAACTGTAGAAGGAGTAGCATTTTAAAGAAATTCCACAGATAATTCTACTTGTGTGCTAAGTGATATTGAAATCAGACTAAAACTGTAGAAGGAGTAGCGTTTTAAAGAAATTCCACAGATAATTCTATTTTTAGTAACCATGGCAACATCGTTCATCGAAATCAAAAACCGATGCACTATTTTATGTATCTTAGTGTAGTCTACTTGTGTGCCAAGTGATATTGAAATGAGACTAAAACTGTAGAAGGAGTAGCGTTTTTAAGGAATTTCACAGAAAATTCTATTTTTAGTAACCATGGCAACATCGTTCAACTAAATCAAAAACCGATGCACTATTTTATGTATCTTAGTGTAGTCTACTTGTGTGCCAAGTTATATTGAAATCAGACCAAAACTGTAGAAGGAGTAGCGTTTTAAAGGAATTTCTCAGAAAATTCTATTTTTAGTAACCATGGCAACATCGTTCATCGAAATCAAAAACCGATGCACTCTTTTATGTATCTTACTGTAGTCTACTTGTTTGCCAAGTTATATTGAAATCAGACTAAAATTGTAGGAGGAGTAGCGTTTTGAAAAATTGTTTACAGACAGACAGACAGACAGACGGACGGACGCCGGACGCATTACTATCGCATAAGCTCTTCTGGTCTCTGACCAGTAGAGCTAAAAATCACAGACAGAGAAAGAAATGGAGAAGGAAAAAATAGAAGTAGAAAAGGAGAAGATAAGTGTTGAGAAGAGAAAACAAGAATTGGAGATGGAGAGGTTCAAACTAAAAAAAAAAAAACGAACGAAGATGATTGACCTCCTTGCATCCTTAATTAAAAAACAATAACTTTAGAAATTTTAGTACATTAATAACCTTTATTTTTCAAACTTTTAGATTAAAGTGTTATGAGTATCTTTCTTCTCTTCTTGTCAACTTTTTTCTCTTAATTTGATTAAGTCAGTAATTGCTAACATACTGCTCTAATGTTGGTGGCTCCTCGTTGAAATAGAAACCAGTCTGGCTACCATAGAGACAAGTGTGACAATTTGTAAACAAAGACCCAACACGATAATACTTGGCTACAGGTTGGGGATAAAGTTTTTCTTAAAGTCTAAAGAAGCAAATAATTGAACAATCTTGCTGAACCCCCATTACATTGTCGAACAGTTGATATCTGATTATTGAACTCAACGTCCTGCGCCGTGAGACGAACACCTTTAAATGGCGCTAGGATAAGGGTATGCAAAGGATATGCATTGTCACCATAAAGACAGAATGGATGGCCTGTGTTGTCACTCATCAAATTTTCTAACTGAGGAAGGATTTGATTTTCTCGTAGTAGAGCGGCATCGTGCCTTTTTCCTTCGAAAGGACTATAAAGATTTGCAATGAGTCCATTAGGGGCAACGATTGACTGGAACTTCAGATCATGTGTTCTCTTATGACTTGTAAATTTAATAATCTTTTTTATTTAATTACATGTATTTACGCTATGAACAGAGAATTATATTAATTGCAGTTAATTTATGTATAAAGTATGTCTACCAGAAAAGATAATTTCTTGATTATATGACGGCCTCGCTATGGGTCTAAGAGTCCAGTCAATAAAACCCCAGCAGTTCTCAAGCGGGGCCTTTTGGTGAACCGACTCACTGTACTGTCTCAGCTTATGGGGTCGCATCCAGTGTTGATTTAGAGATGTTAAAAATGTCCATGATGTTCGTCGATAAAGCGCAAAGTCTATATATAATGTGACAAGTTTCAGTATACTGGCACAGGATCAATAGTAAATTCAAAAAAGACCACTGTCATATACTGAAAGGAAAAAGAAACGCAGGGTAATATTATATTCGATAAATTTTTAACCGGATGACCGAAAATTACGAAAATTGGTCAGATGAGAAATTTAGTTACTCTGCATAAATATCAGTGTTCAAAATTACTCATCCGTAAATTGTATGACGTCACGTAGGAACAACGCTAAAAAGCCCAAAACACGTGCAATTTGATGACGCCGAGTTTGTCAACAAATCTTGTTGCATCATTTGATGCATCTGAGGTATGCACATCGTTTTTCAATATTTAGAGACGACATGAATTTCTTGCTTCCTTGGTACAGTATACGGAAGTTCCATGGGTCTTGTTTTCGAATTGCCTAATTAATGAAAAGGGAAACAATAGTTAACTAGGCAGTTTCTTGAAAATTTTCCCCCAAGAAACTTGTTACCCGTTGTCAGAGAGGGCCTGGGATGGTTTTCAATCAACCGTGACGATGACGTTAACGCGAAACATAGTCATGTTACGAGCGGGTTACTGTTTCCTGCCTTCTCTTAAATCGCCACCTTACTACCACAAAAACCGCCATTTATACAGTAGACTATCATAATCAATACATTTACACGAAAAACGAAAGAAAACAATTCCGCAATTTGGTTTTTTGCGCCGGTCAACTTACTGTTGTGTTCCTTTAACTGGCGCATGCGCGCGTCTTTTGACTAATTTTTTAGCGTGGTTACCCACACCCAATATAGCCAGGGTTTGAAAGATAAACACTCTGACGAATTCCATGCAAAGGAGAAATAAGGCTCTGACAGATGCGCAGGAGAGACATTGAAGATAATGAGAGATTTCGATTTTCACTTTTGGGGGGTATCGTCAAATGAGCTTCAATAACTCATGAATTATTAGACAAAATCCAATAGGATTTTGGTTACATCTTTTTGAAAGAATATTTTAAAAGTTAGATAGGAATACTGAAAATAATTAAAAGAAAAATAAATTTCATTCATCTCGAAAGTTTACCCTGCGTTTCTTTTTCCTTTCAGTATATTTTTAAATAATTTGTATGAATAATATACATTTTTTACCATTACTGTTTAAAAGCAGAGGTATGGAAAAGCAATGGGATACATAACCACAGACCTCATTAAAAATCAAACTGATCTCCGACTCTGATCTTCCAAATAATGGTACAAGGTCTGCGAGTCTATTTGGATATGAAAGTCTTCTTAAAGTAATGCATAGGCTTTCTAAACCGGTTGCTATAGTGTTGTTTTCACACACTGCGAGGGTTGTCCGTAAATTTCGTGGACAACATTGATAATTACTGAAAAACATTGATAAAATACATGAAACTATTATTTTCATTAAATTCATGTTTCATTTTATTATTATGCAAGTTTTCAACAAAAACAAAGCACAAATAGTTATATTTTTATCAGATACAGAAAAGACACACATTCATTCCCGGAGCACTATAACGAAAATTCTTGACGTTACCCGACGTCAAAAGCTTTTAAATACGAGTACATGTAACTTTTCTCACATAGTCACCGTTTAACTCTATACATTTCTTATGTCGCTTTAACCAGCCATAAAGATGTGCACAAAATGTTCAGGTTTCAAAGTTTCATATACCTGTCTGGAAATACGGCAAAGTCACGTTACGAAATTCATTTTTTACAGCACTCCAATCTCGGAATGATGGTTTCCTTCACGCATGTCATCCTGTAAATGTTCTTTCCGTCCGAAAATATTATGTGCCACTTAAATACTAATGAACGGCTTCTTTTACTTAGTTTTCCCGATTGTTTACAGAATTTATAGGTCTCTGTAGGTGTTTTTCTGATGTCTACACAGAATTTTATCACTGCCCACTGCTCCACCTATTCCGAAAACGTCCCTTTTTTGAACAATTCCGATCCTGTCTTAATTTGTTCTAACTTTGATTGCTCAGCCATTTTGAAACTTTGAACGTTCAGATTTTGCAGGTTTGACGTGATAACTTCTGTCCATCTCATAATGTAAAAGTCATCCAGATTTTTTGCAGAATTTTATAAAACGCAAATGAAATTTATAAAGTGATAAATGATTTTTAAATTAAAATTTTGCGGTGCTCCGGGTCTCCATTCCAAGTCTAATTATAAAGCCATAATTGTGATTAAACATTTGAAATTGAATAAAATTTTTACATTTTTCAATTCACATTTAGTAAAGGATTGGAAATATGTTAATAATAAATAAATAATGACACAACTTTTATTTAATTTTTAGTTTTTCCACGAACTTTACGGACAACCCTCGTATATATCTCCGGAATCTGCAGAGCTTGCCTGAGTCTGAGAACATCATTCTTTTCGAATCTTAAAATAGAATTTCCTAGATTTTATTACTACAATATATCTTTTTTCCTAAATTAAGAAATCAAGATTTAAAATTTAGAAGAGCTGTTGTAGGCCGGTTATAATTAAGGACTGGAAAAAATCTTCCTATAGCAATTTTTGTTGATCGACATAAATATGTACTTCTCTTAATAATTACATGCAAATCATAAAAACACCTAAAAAGCGAAATGGTCTCCATTTCGTCCAATTCTTCAAAATTCAGTCGAGGACCCTTAACAGAAAGTTTCCGTCTCTGTTTTTCAGGAGTGCAAAACAAAAGTAATTCTTCTTCATTTATGTACTTTTGTTCATACAGAAATAAGTATTTTTTATTTATTCAAATAAAGCTGATTTATTTTATTGTGGACCTTATAAATAACAGGAGATGAAAAGAAAAACGAAGTTTTTCTCTGGCAAATAGCGCCAGTTTAAAAAGTGGGCACTCCATAAAATCATACAGGCAAAGAAATAAACAAATTCAAAAAACTCATTCTCGTATCGGGAGGGGGGGGGGTGTTGAGAGTGTTCAATTCTTTCATGCTTAAAAGAAACTGTAAATCTAATCAGGAAAAGGGACCCCCATCCCCCATCTTCGTTTTTCCAACAAATTATATTAACTTTTACAACACACATAAACACTTCAGTACTAAAGCAAGCTTAAGATTATTAATTGTACGAAATATCTTTAGCATATAGTTATACATTCAATCTATTTTTCTCTCCGGAAATTTGATTCAAAACGTCTTACCAAGAATCTTCTATTTTTCACAGACATACGTTCCTTACGTGTAACTAAAACGTAATATAACGTTGACGTCGAATATAACGTGTACGTTAACGTACGCTTACACGTTTGTGACGTCACTTTTAACTAAATCTCTCTGCTGTCGTGTGTGTGAAATCTGCAGGGGATTTAATATTGCCCTCCAAGAATTCCAAACGCAACTAGCGTTCTCTCTCCCGTTGCAAAAAAAAAACATATAAGGATTCTACAACGTATTGCATACAGATACAGACGGACAGAATCATTGAAATATTTGTACACTGTTGTAACTGCGAATTTTGAGAAAGAACGAATCTAAAGTTTATTCAATTTTTTCTGAGAAATCATTTATTGAAACATATTTTATTGAAACTTAATCAATGGGATTGGACACAAGTTATTCCAACCATACACCAAAAAGTTCCAGCTTAGATTGTCCTCTTCAATACAAAGATATATTACAAGTACACGTGATGTACAACCAACAAATGTACAATGCAAAAAAAAAAAACAACAACAAAAAACAAAAAAAAAACAAGCTAATTCAGAGAATTTGTGTCCCCCGCTTAGGGAAAAAGTAAACCATGTGCAGTTCGGGAGGGGGGGGGGATTCGGATCCCCCTGACTGAATTTGTAGAATTATTAAATGTATACATGAATACTGAAGCAAATAAAATATGCCAATATGGATATAAAGATTTGATTGCTTATTCTTTATTATGTGTATAGAAGATTCTTTTTATATGGAATATTTATCACACTGTTATCATGATTTTATGAGTTTCTACAAGCCAGACCTCGATAAATTTTTCATTTCACATGCTGAATACTATCATTGAGTAAAAAAAAAAGTATTTCGAAAAAAAGAAAAAGAAAATGGACCAACCGAGATTCGATCCCGGGACCTCTCACATGTGAAGCGAGAGACATACATG